ATTCCACATATTGACGGGGTCGAATGAAGCCTGCTTTCATTAACTTCTCAATCTCTTCTTTGATCTGAGGAAGCAATTCAGGACTAATTCTCCTAGGTGGTTGTTTATACGGCCTGAAACCATCTTTAATAGGCAACCGATGCTCAATCAACTCCCGCGCTAATCCAGGCATTTCTGAATAATCCCACGCCAGACATTCCATATTCTTCCGTATTAGCGAGACCATCTGCTCCTGTTGTTTTTTGGGCAATAAGCTACTTATTCGAACCATTCTCGGTACCTAGTCGGTTCCTAGGTTATATACTCGGTAAGTGGGTCTTGTGAAGATAAGGAAGATTCTGTTTTCTCCAGAAGGTCTGGCCATCGAAAACATTCTCCTTCAGTGACACAATTATTCCATCCTCTATTGTTATGTAATTTAACCATTAATTGGTTTAAATAAAATTGTTTGATGAGAAAATCACAAGTGTTTTCTTCCATAAGATCCGAATAAATAGTAATTTCAGAAGTCTGGCTAACATCAGATGTTTCTTATTGAAAACATAACCCTGGGTGGTAAGCCTGCAACTCTTCCACAGATTTTTCTTATCAAACATGGTTGTTTGAGAGATCGGAGGAACGTACTCAGAATACAATACCGATTTTTCCACAATCTCTGTAGCGTCAAAAGGGTTTTGGTTAGCATCTAATTTATACAGCTGGTCTCCTTCCCAGAACATTATATGCTGATGGAGTGACGAGGGAACGCACTTGGAAGCATGAATCCAGTCTCTTCCCAACAGTACCGAATAGGTAGTTTTTGCATCTACCACAAAGAACACTATAGAGATTACTTTCGCCCCTACTTCAATAGGAGCGACCAAAATACCTTCTGGCTTGGTCGGTTGACCTGTAAAGCTGGTTATTTCAATGTCTACTGGAGACAGATCTCCAATTCCTTTTCCAAGTCTCTTAAAGGTTCTCAAGGGCATGACATTGAAAATAGCTCCATTATCAATAAAAACTTTGTTAATAGGCTTACCACAAATATGAGCACTTACATATAATGGCTTCAAATGAGGAATCGCTCCTTCAGGCAGAGGTGGAAAGATCATTGGCGGGGGTAGTTCTGGTACCAAATTGGGACCCATCGCTATCTGTGCCCATTCTAGGTTTTCTATATGCCCGTCATTCAGACTTGCCCAATCTTCTTCTTCGAATCTATGCATACCTGTCATCCTGACCTGAAAAATAGTACTATATGTTCCTCCTCCCTTTCGAGTCTTTTTGCGTAATTCTTTCATCTCCTCTTCAGAAAATGAACCAAAAACCACGTTAGATGGTTCTTCCTTAACTTCCTCTATCACAGGATCGATATTAATCCGTCTACAGAATTGAAAACGGAAACATCGGGCCTTCTTAATTGGTCTATCTTCCTCTCTTTCCCTTAGTAAAGAACCTTCTTGACCTCATTGGCGTGGCAATGGTTCTGGTGGTTTTTGTCTCTCCTTACGTGATTGTTTCCCGTTTCGAGCGGCATACCTCCGTTTGGCATTACAGATTTGCGTTCGATTCATACCTGGAAACCGTGGATCTGTGTCAACCGGTAGTAGCTTCCGATTCCTATTCCACCCATCATGCACTTGCCGAGGCCTACGGGTCAGCTGATCACGAACCACTGTCTGATCCTTCAAGTTTACTTCAAAGGTGCCATCAGCCTTATCCCATTTCTCTGCAACCTGATTTTCACAAACCTTGAACTTATCCTTCGGCTCGTCTACCCTCTCCTTGGGTTTTCGTTCATTTCTCTCTGTATCCGCATCATCCTCCATCCGAGAATCCTGTGAAGGACAAACAGAAATAACAGCAGTAGTTACCTTTGGAGAGGGTTGTTGCTCTACTCCCATCGTGACATACTTGAAGCGCCCGGCCTTAATGGCCCTCTGAGTTTATTTTCGGAAATGCATACACTGACTGGTATAGTGAGTAAAAGAATTATGTCATTTACAGTATGACCTTCCTTTTATCTCCTCTTTGGTTGCCAAACGTTGTCCTTTCGGAATTCGAATCTGCCCATCAGCCAAGAGAATATCGAATATCTCATCTGCTTTAGATGCATCGAAGATGGGCTGATCCTTCTCTTCCAACCTGGGAATTGGTTTCCAATTGGGACTTACATATGGTTTCCCATGTACAATCTCTGCTGCCATCTCCTCCGCATTCCTAGCCTGGTCGGCATCTGACAAATAAACTTATGTTTCCATACTAGCCATTTGTTGTGCTTTGTGTCGCCTGTAATTCTGATCTTTTTCCCTGAACAAGGACTCCAAACAACCAGCTTTACCCGCCAAACTGGCTAAATCTCCAACATCATGTGCTGTTAAAGCTTCCAAACCTAGCATCGGAAGAGGATTAAAGAACCTAGCATGAAGTGCTGCTTCCAAAACTTCCCGGGTTTGAATTTGCCCGGCCGGAAGGTTAGCGAACCAGGAAACTGCCGTTCTAGTCAGGGATAGTCCAAACAATTGCAACTTATAAAAAGGATTATTACCAACCTCCTCCAACTGGGCCGTGAAACGACCTACATGCTCAATGGTTGATAAACTGTCTTCTCCCGAGAAAGGATGGAAATCTAGCGGCCTATAATTTCTCGGGAGAGGGTGTTCGTTGATGACTCTTTCCGGAAAGGGTCTTTGGTACATTGGCCTGTTCACCGTTTGCGGATTCATGCCAAAATGCACTCATAACACTTGAGCAATATCCTCTAAGTCCACTCTGGGTGGATTATGATAAAAAAACAGGAATGGGGTTGTGGGCCTGACCTCCCATCCTTTCGTCCCTCTCGAACATTGCTTGATCTACCCCCCTTGGTACCCAACGGGATTATGTTTGGGTATGTCAGGGGCGTTTTTCCTCTATCCCCTCTAATAGCAGCACTTGGGAAGGTGCTATCTACATAAGATGGCCTAACAAAGTTCGTCTGTAATCTGGATGGTGATGATGCTGGTGGTGTTTGAGTGGGTTGAAGAGTTACCCTTGCCAACATTTGATCTAACATATTATGCATCAAGTTCTGTTGCTCTCGCAACATTTCCTGCATGGTTTGTGTCTGCTGGTTGTTCAACTGCTGAACATATGTCACCCAATCAGTGGGTGCATGGGAGAATTCCCCAGTGTTAACCACGGAAGGTATTGTTGTTTATCCTGCCGTGGTGGAAGAGGCTTGAGGCTGTGAACCTGTCATATGGATCCTTCCGATGATTCGGCCGGACTTTAGTCGTATGAAATTTCCGTATGTCGTAGGGTCAGGAATCTTGCCTCGACTCCCACTGTGGTCGCCAAATTGTTGATGCTATTTTCAACAATAAAAGTAAAATCCGAAAACTAATTTCGAATTTGACTATAATAATATTTGGAATTGTAAATCCCTAGATACCATACAGAATATAAGAAAATAAAAGCAACAGATACTGAAAGATAAAAAGGATGATCCCCAAAGCGAATTTCTTTGAAATTGATGCTGATTGAAGATGCCTTTTTCCGGATGCGAGGTGCCTGTTATATGCCTTCCAAGTCGGACATTGGATCGTATGTGCCGGATTATCAGTCGGTTGCAACTGCCCTGAGGAACCGCCTTATGGTTGCAATTGCCCGAAAAAACCGTTTTGCGGTTCACCGACCAACCGACCAGACAGGCTACCGACTGGTTGACTGGTTCCTTTGCAACTGCCTAAAGAACGGTCTTGTAGTTGTACCTCTACTGACTGTTCTGGTGCTACCAACCGACTAGCCAACCAGACAGGCTATCGACTGGTTGACTGGTTCCCTTGCAACTGCCTGAAGAACCGTCTCGTGGTTGCACCTTTGCTGACTGTTCTGGTGCTACCAACCGACCAACCGACCAGACAGACTACCGACTGATTGACTGGTTACCTTAATGGATGCGTGGGAAACCCACCCCTTTTTTTGTTTGTCTGCAAGCCCAAGTTTTTGAGTCTATGTACATACTCAATAAAACCCTAAAATATTTTAATATCTAACAACTATTATTTTTTAATTCACTACAAAATACACAAAAATGACTCATTTCAAATCGGACAACTCTGTCAATTGGTAAGTTTCTCATTTAACTTTTATATGCTGATTAAGATAAATTATTATTTTATAGATATGTAGTGTAATATTTATTTTACTCTTTATATAGAAGTAAAAGTAATTTGAAAAAGAAAAAAATATGAATATTTTAATATTCAGTTGATGGTTATTTTTACTAAAAACGAAAATAAAAATTTTTTATTTGGACGAACTAAAATAAAATAAATAAATAAATAAATAGAAGTTTGCTTTTGAACAGAGAAAATGATATATAAAAATTATTTTTATTATAATTTTTTTTTAGCTTATTTGATTTGAAAATTAAAAATTCAAGCTAAAATCAAAATTTATAAATTCAATTTTAGATCCAATTTGGATCAATCTTTCTTACACCCAATTGCATTAAGTCTTTTGAATAGTTTTAAGAAAAAGCCTTCAATAAAAAAGTTATCTATAAAAAGGCATTAGTATTGCTCAAACGGTGAGAAGAGTTTGGCTTCTCCGTTTGTTGAGCTGGATCTACCAATAATTATCATAAATAAAAAACAAAGAAACAAAATATTTAAAAAATATATATTGAATTCTCTCTACTAAAATGATTCTTAAATATTGACAAACAAACAAAAAAATAATTACTAGTTTTAACGTATATAGATAATAATTGATATATTTTATAGTAAAATTTAACATACTTAAATATAGAGTAACAAATATAAATTCTGACAAAAAAAGAATTACTAGTTTTAAAGTATATAGATAATAATCAATATCTTTTATAGTAAAACATAACGGGACAACAAATTAGAATATAGAGGTTTTTTATAAAAATAAAACTACTTTTCTATAACAAATAAAAAAGAAAAAAATAAGCACACGTTTAATTGCCAATGAAGTAGTAATACTTTTGGTCCACGGAAATTGCCCAATACTTTGAATTGAAAATTTCATAACCCAAATTAATTAATATTAGTAGTAATTTTTATTTACATAACAGACCAAACGCTGAAAGTACATACAGCAGATATAAAATAAAATTAAATAATACTAATAAAAATAAATCAAAAAGAATTCATTTCCAAAGTGTAACATTTCTTGGCGACCATCAATTTCCTGGCGGCTTCTTCCAGCATCTTTCCCTCATCGTCATCCCCAAACCCTAGCACGTCTCCGCCGCCGACAGGGGCGGCGGCGGCGGCGGCGGGCTTTATGACGACGAGCGTGGCCCCCTCCATGACCCTGCCAGAATCCCCCACCTCCAGACTGTCCATAAACCACATCTTCATCCTCAACGCGGGGACCCGGCTCCTGGGCTCCGGGACCTCCTCCTGACGCCCTTTCCCCTTGGAAACCCTCAATTCCTCGATCTGGGCGCTGTTCATCAGCAACCTTCCCTGATTCGTCTCGTCCGAAACGACGACGTTTTGGATAGTCCCCTGTCGTTTCACCGTCTCCTGTATCAAGTAGTGCCTCGCCGTCGCCGCGATTAGGCACGAGATCGTCCACACGATCCGCAGCTTCAGATCTTCGTCCGGCATCGAAACCCTAGCCTCCGGATCCGACTCCGGCGACCGATCGGACTTATCGGAGAACGATTTCGCTCCGAGAATCACGCAGCTGTGCAGATCACGCCCGAACTCCGCCTTCCATTTCAGGAACGTCTTCGGAGGCTTCCCGTTCTTACCTGATTTGAAATTCCGGTTGCCATGGCAGGGGAGGCGGAGGCGGAGGCCGCGGACTTCGCCGAACGATTTGAGGATCTCGTTGTGGAGGTAATAGGAGTAGAAATCCAGATCGTTTTCGTCGCTGCTCTTGGATCTTGATTTCACCAACTGGCTGATGAAATTGAACGGCTTCATCAGAACTCTCACCACCGGATTTCTGAACTCCGCCGCCGCCGCCGCCTTCTTCTTCGGAATCGAGAGCGAAATCTCGTCCACCTGCGGGGCGATTGATCGGAAGCGCTTGCACACCGCCATGGACATACACAGCGACTTGGCATCCTGCAATTTCTTAAAAATCGAGAGCACAATCTCGTCAGGCAGCCGATCGAAGCAGTCAACAGCGATTTCTTGGCCCATTTTCAGCAAAAACCTCAAATGCAAGATAAGAAGTTCTTAAACAATCAATTGAAGAATGATTGAGCGATCCTTTTATACATATAGGGGAGTGGGAGAGGGAGGAATGGGATGGACGGTGGGGATGCGTCGGGGGGCGGAAAGCGACGGCTGACGCGTTTTGGCGTAGAGTTGAGAGGGAAGAGGTAGACAATATTGACTAAGGAGGGAGAAACCATTCAAGTGAAGAGGAAGACGTGGGAAAGTTTCAAATAAGGGTTTTTAGAGTGTCGGTTTTGTGTGGATATCAAGATATGAACGAATTATTATGATGATGAAATGATGCCTGATTTTGGATTTGGTTTTGGTTTTGGAGCCAGCTCTGGCTCTTGACGTCATTGGAAGCCTTATCTACATCGCTTGTCTTCACGCTCCGCTTTGTGAAATTACTGGCTTGCCCCCCAGCGTTGGACGGGTCTATTTTTAGACTTTGTGTACGCACGCCCCCGCACCCCAATTGGGTTACGTCATGGCTGCTTCGAAATCGGTTATAAAAATTAAATACTACTGCTATATTTAATCAAAATGTACTGTTGATTAAGAAAAAAATTGTATGTTCAGAGGTTTAGATATTATTTAGATAACAAACTTTCATTCATATATTAAATTTTTTACTTTTTTATTTTTATTTTTTTATTTTTAAAATTTCTAAAGCCTCTGTAAGTTCATGTTCAAACGTTGCCAAAATTTGAAAATAGTAAATAATAATTCTTTTTATCATTTGTATATATATATTTTTTGGAATTTTAAGAAAAAATGTTTTTATTTTTTTTTCCAAAATAAAAGATGTGTCTTCTTATTTGGTAATGGGATATGTTGATTGATTTTTTCAACAAAATAAAAAGTAAAATTCGAAAATAGAAAATAAAATAAATGCATGAGATTAAGAATCGCTAGACACTGTACGATACATAAGTAAACTAGGAAAATAAAAACTACAAACCGAAAAAGTAAATGGTGATCCCCAAAAGCAATTACAGTGAATTAGATGTCGATTGAAGATGTTTTTCCCAGTTGTGAACCCCCTCTTTAAATATTCCCTAAAGAAACGTTTTGGAACCGTCGTTTGTTCGGTTACAGCAACCGCCGTCAACCGCCCGCTAAATCCTCCTCCATTGACACGTGTCTTTAACCGTCTCGTCAACCGCTCCTGCCAATTACAGGACTTAACTGGCTCGACCGACCGACCAATCCAGATACTAACTGGTCGCTAGACCAAAAGACTCATTGGTCGCCTAATCAAGCGACCACCATCTGGTCCCTTCAATCGGTAGAACAACCATTCGTCCAGATGATTCATTGGTTGCTCAATCAAGCGACCAACTGACCGCCCTTTCAAGCGACTAAACTACTGTGTAACCAAGTGACCGGCCAATCGATCAGGCGATTAACAGGTTGCTTGATTAAGCGACCAACTAACAGACCTTCCTTCGACCAACAAATTAACAGACTTTTCCTCTTTGTCTGACTTCCGTGTCTGCTATCTCATCTTTCTTCGCTCGACCTTCATTTTGACCGACCTCCGTGTCTGCCATCTCATCTTTCTTCGCCCGACTTCCTCTTTTGACCGACCTCTGTATCGGCCGTCTCATCTCTCTTCGCCCGACATTATCTTGTCCGACCTCCTTTAAGACCCTGCTACCATTATTATTATTATTATTATTTGTACTCAACAACTTTCCTCCTCCCGCCCGACTCCTAAGCGTCACTTCTCGTGACGTTTAGGAGTTTGCAGGCCATCATCCGAGGCCACGTCAGCCTCAGATCCGACCTCCATCATCCAAGGCTACGTCAGCCTTTGATTCGACCTCCATTTATCGCGGACTGGTGGTGGCCTGGGCGTTGGTTGATCTTGCACTACCATTTCGTCAGCCCCTTCCCCTTGTTCGTCGTCTAGTGCATACATACGGAAGTTGTGATCCTTTTCTCTAAAAAGGAATTCTAACCTCCCCGCCTTGGATGCTAAACTGCCCAGACCTTGAACGTCGTGGGCCATTAAAGCCTCCCGCAATCGTGTATGCATATTCTTGACCACCAAATTGGTCATCTCGCTCTCCTCAATGATTGTCGGGCAACGTCATTTCATTAGTCGTATCCGCTCAATGAATTGGTAGGCGATCTCCTCCGGTATTTACCTGATTTCTAGGAGATCTGTGAGTGAGACTGTCGGAAGAGGATTAAAGAACCTTGCATGAAAGACCGCTTCTAAGTCCTCCCAAGTTTGCAATTGTCTTGGTGGAAGATTAGCAAACCAGGAAAAAAGCTGTTCCGGTGAGCGACAATCCGAACAACTGCAATTTATGAAACGGATTATTGCCCACTTCCCCCAATTGAGCCGTTAAACGTCCCACGTGCTCAATGGTTGAGGCTCCGTCTTCCTCTGAGAAAGAATGAAAATCTGGTGGCCTATAATTTCTCGGGAGAGGATGCTCATTGACGATTCTCTCTGAAAATGGCCTATGATATGCCGGCCTGTTCACCGTTTGAGGATTCATTCCGAAATGCACCCGCAAGACTTGAGCAACGTCTTCCAGATCCACTCTGAGTGCAATAGGGTCGAACACAGGAATAGGATTATGAGCCTGTCCCCTTAACCTCTCTTCTCTAGAGAAGGTTGGCTCGGCTGGGATAGGATTATGAGCCTGTCCCCCCAACCTCTCTTCCCTTTAGAAGGCTGGCTCAACTGGGATAGGATTATGAGTCTGTCCCCCTAACCTCTCTTTCCTAAAGAAGGCTGGTTCGGCTGGGATGGGATTATGAGCCTGTCCCCCAAACCTCTCTTTCCTGGGGACGGTTGGCTTGGCTCTGACACCCAGTGGAACATTATTTGGGTATGTTAGAGGAGTCTTTCCCCTGTCAACCCTAGTAGTGGCACTTGGAAGAGTGCTATCTACATATGAAGGCCCTACAAAATTTTGCTTGTAATCTAGATAGTGACATCCCTGGTGGTGACTGAGTGTGTTGAAGAGTAACCTTTGATAAAACTTGATCTAACATATTTTGCATGAGGTTTTGTTGCTCATGTAACATATTTTGCATGACCAAAATTTACTGATTGTTCAATTGTTGAACATAAGACACCCAATCGGTAGGTACTTGTGGTGCTTCCCCTGCATTCGGCATACCAGGTGGTGAAATTGTTTCTCCCACTGGTGTTGAAGATACTTGGGGTTGTGAACCTGCCATATGGATCCTTATGATGATTCGGCCGGACCTCAGTCGTATAAAATTCTCTCTTGACGTAGGATCAACAATCTTGCCTTTCTCCCACTGTGGTCGCCAAATGTTGATTGATTTTTTCAACAATAAAACGTAAAATCCGAAAATAGAAATTATCTTCGAATTTGATAAAATAAATGCCCAAGATTAAGAATCTCTAGACACCGTACGATACATAAATAAACTAGGAAAATAAAAACTACAGACTGAAAAAGTAAATGGTGATCCCCAAAAGAAATTCCAGTGAATTTGATGTCGATTGAAGATGTTTTTGCCAGTTGCGAACCCCTTCTTTAAATATTCCCTAAAGAAACATTTTGGAACCGTCGTCTGTTCGGTTACAGTAACCGCCGTCAACCGCTCACTAAATCCTCCTCCATTCACACATGTCTTTAACCGTCTCACCAACCGCTCCTGCCAATTACAGGACTCAACCGGCTCGACCGACCGACCAATCCAGATACTAACTGGTCGCTAGACCAAAAGACTCATTGGTCGCCCAATCAAGCGACCACCATCTGGTCCCTTCAATTGGTCGAACAACCATTCGTCTAGACGATTCATTGGTCGCCCAATCAAGCGACTAGCTGACCGCTCTTTCAAGTGACTAAACTACTGTTTGACCAAGTGACCAGCCAATCGATCAGACGATTAACAGGTCGCTTAATTAAGCGACCAACTAACAGACCTTCCTTCACCCGACCAATTAACAGACTTTTCCTCTTTGTCCGACCTCCGTGTTTGCTATCTCATCTTTCTTCGCCCGTCCTTCATTTTGACCGACCTCCGTGTCTATCATCTCATCTTTCTTCGCCCGACTTCCTCTTTTGACCGACCTTCGTATCGACCTTCCTCTGTTTTTTTTTTCTTTTTTTTTAAAAATTTCTAAAGTCTCTAGAAGTTCATGTTCAAACGTAGCCAAAATTTGAAAATAGTAGAAGTAATTCTTTTTATCGTTTGTATATATATATATTTTTTGGAATTATAAGAAAAAATGTTTTTATTTTTTTTTGTCCCAAAATAAAATATGTGTTTTCTTATTTGGTAATGGTATCATTTAACACTATAAATATTTTTATAATTTACAATATATTAAATAAGGGAAAGTTGGTTTTAAATTCCCCTAACACATAATAAGTTAAAGTTCAGTCACTTTTTCTAATAAATTGGTCGCACTCCCTTCTTTTTTTTTTTTTTTTTTTTAATTTGAACAAACTCCCTATTGGTATTTTTGTTATTATTTTAATTTATAAATATTAAAAGGTAAGGAATACTTTGATGTCATATATATGTGTCTATATAACTATTATATATACTCATAACTCTTCCCACGCTACCTACCATGTTCTAAATATATACCTATATATGCTTGTTATATACTTTTGCATTTTTTTCTTTTAAAAAAAAGAATAATAATTAAACAACAGTTATATACATGATTTAATAGTGGGTGAGGAAAAATCAATACTTACAACTCTCAGTTGCAAACAAAATTTTCACAATTCTCACCCGCAGCCGATCACTCTTATTTCAGCTCACCGTCTGCTGAACTGGAAAATATGATGATGAAGAAGCTGAAAGCGAGCCCATCATCCCGACGCAGCGCGAAGAAGTAAGTTTTCTTTTGTTCTTCCTAAAATTTTTTATTTTATTCACAGTTCTTAACCTAGATTGTATGTTTGATCGCGGTTTAAACCTCGGCCTTAATATGGTATGCCTCCGTTCGTCCTCGAGAAATCCTCGTTTGTTGAAAGTAGTGTTTGGGCATAGTTGTGTGTTTAGGGTTCAACATTTTATATTTCCGAAAGGTTTTACAGGACAATGAATTTGATTTGGCTGCAATTGTTTAATTTTTACATGTTGGTTAGTATTTTTAAGAATATTAATCATGTTTAGGGGTCGACACTTGTGTTACAAGTTAAATCGGTTGAGAATCAGTTGTGATATTGTTATATACCCATAATTGCATCTTTTAAATCTAACATAATAATATTTATTTTTTCATAGAATATGAAATGAGTA